CAAAAACTGTCTTTGACAGAATATTGGATAGACAATCTAATATCTGTTTCACAGGCAGCGTCCCATATCCATGGCTCAGCAAAATTGCCATTTGTGGTCACAGATGGTAGAATACTATTTGTAACCCATTTTCCTATAACATATCAGAAGTCTCCTACACAAATTGATGAGGCTCTTGACCTGTTATTAAATCTCAAAAAGAGAAATAATTTGGATCTTCTATTGGAACTAGCCATGACCATGGATGATGTAGAACATTTTCAGAATGAGTAATACAGTCAGGATCCTGATTTGTCTCCATCAGAGATTGATGAAGAATATCACAATCTCATCAATAGGATGGAAGCATAGTGGACCCCACTATCAAATGCAGCTGTCTCCTGATCGACTCCAACCTTATCCCGGACACGTGAAGATATACATGATCAAGTCATGGTAATTTGTTTGTTTGTTTGTTTGTCTGTTTTCTTTTCAATTTATCTTTAACTGGTGCTATTACTACCATTTCAATTATACATTAATTTATTCCTAACTTAATTGATTTGCACAAATGCTAGCAATAGTATATAAGGATATTTACACTTTATTCTGCAGCGTGAAAAGCCTAAAGTTTAGAATAAAGTGGAACTCAAATTGAGAAAAGAAAAGGAAGAGTAAATTCTTTCCTTATTCCTCTCAATTTTTCCTTCAATATAAATCTATTTAATCGAATATACCACTTAATACATATTTTATTTAACTTTTTAACTTATCTTATTCAAAAAGAAAAGAAAATTTGTATTTGTGTTAAAAATGTGAAATGACATCCACGTACATTCCATTTTTATTTAACACTCCACTTTTATACCTAGAGTGTGTATATAATTTATTTTAAAAATGTCTAGAATATGAATTGTGAAGTTATACAATTTATTTTACCCCTTTTAGGCATTACTATAAGAAATTGCACTTTTACCGACTAAAAATTTAGTTGGAAAAATTCTATTTTTGTAATGACCCAATTTTTTTTTTTTAAATAACCAGTGCATAATCTAATTGAGTAAATTTTCAAATTTGATTGTTGTGTAAATTCTGTGCAAAAACAGTTCAGTTTGGTATTTTTTAAAAATAGTTTCCGATCTCAGAAAATTATGAAATTTTTAAATGTTGTTCCCATATGAGTCTAGCACGTTGGATAAAAATTTCAAAATTTAATGATGAATATTTATTTTATGAAAATTCACGAACTGATTGGTGTTCAGTTTAATTTATAGTAGAATTTAAAAATGGAGTTTTGTGTGTTTAGACCATAATTTGAGATAAATTTGTTGGGTCTATTTTGGTATATAATTGGACCATATTTGACTTATGGGTAAGACTCATGACTTAGATTTAATTTAAATTGAGTTTGTTTAATGACTCACGTTTAACTGTTTGGTCCTTTTAAAATGTGATTGGTAATGACCACCTTAGGAGTTGTTATTATTTATTATATAGGATTATAATAAATATTTGATAGTTGATTTTATGGTATGTACCATATGGTGAAAAATTATATATTTTTATAGTAAATAAAATGGGCGTATATTTCGTGGTGAGCAAAATATTTTATTTTGTGATGTGTACAAGCAAACAAGATATATTTTGTGGTGAGAAAATATTATATCCTTTCTATCATTTATGTTACTAAATATTATAATGATATTGAAACATACTTTTAATTGATATATATATATATATATATATAGGTATATATGTATAGATAGATGTTTGAAATAAAATAAAAGAATAAAATATATTATCAAGAGAGGCAACTCATGGGCTGCTCCCCTCTCTTTTGTTTTCCTTTACTTTGATTTCCTTTCTCTGCTTTGGAGAAGCAGAGCTTCGTTCTCTCTCTCTCTCTCTCTTGCTCTCTCAAATTTCTTTTATGTTTATCACAAGACCTTTTGATCCACCAAAATCTATTAGGTTTTAGACCCATGTTCTTGAGACTAAAGTGAAGAGCTTGGTGAGAGCAATGTTTTGACCCGTGGAGATCGAAATTCGACAAAATCAAAAATTTAGATTTTTGCTTGTTTCCTCTTCTAGCTTGAGGTAGGGATTTTTCCTACACTTCTTTATGTACTTTTACTTGATTATATAGAGCTTAGAGTTGTACATATTTTAATTAGAATTTTTGAAAATTTTGTGATTTATTTGCTTAAAAGGGAAATTTTGAGAAAAATAAAGAGTTGATGCTCAAATTGCGAAAGTGTAAACTTGGAATATGTTCGTAAGGTTATGAAAGAGCTATGTTTTAAATTTGAACAAAAATGGACTTCGATTTGATCGGTCTTGAAGTTTTTACCAGTTTGCGACCAAAAGAGAATTTTTAAAGAAAACAAAGGAATTATGTTTAACTTTTGGGGCTTTTGATCAAAATAGTATGTCATAGTTGAATAATGCATGGAGAATGAGTTTGGAAAGAAAATGATATTTTCTTGAGCATTAATGGTATTATTTTGTTTAATGTATCCGTTGGAATAAAACCGACAGGGTTAGAAATGGACCTTGAGAGGTTACCGGACGTGATTGTGATATGAAAACTAGTGTAGTTGTTCATATTTGATAAGATTTGGAATAGATTGTATTTATCGAAATTTTTTTGGAATTTAATTGTTTAAATATTTATTTAGAAATATCTGTTTTGGGCTATTGGTGGAGGATAGCCATGATTATTGTAGAAATGCACGAGACTTAGGTAAATTAAACCACACTCCTCATTTGTTGCATTGGACATTGCATTACATTCATTTCATTGAAATGTATCTGTTCTTTGAGAAATGTTTGGAAATGTATTTATTTAGGAAAAGATGAATACTTAGTGAATCTGGATAGGGGGTGTAGCACCGCCCAGTTAGGTGTTGAGCCTTCTAGTTTACTGGTAAAAATGACAATGGTAGTGCATTAGGGCCCACTTGCAGACATTTACCTAGAGATTCATAGAGCCTGTATTCATGTAACAGATATGGTTTAAAATGGAAATGGTTTTATATCTGTTGTTGCATCTCAGCATTGTATGCTTTTTAAAAAGAGAGATAAATTGTTTTATCATGAGCATGGCATGAGTATACTCCTCTTTAGTCTTGTCATGGTTCATATGTTGTGTGGATATCTCTACTGGGTTATGGCTCACCCTATAAGGGAAACCATTTCAGGTACAGGTGCTATGCCTTCGCGAAGGCATTGACTTGGGAGCACTCAGAGTTGAGACTTCATTTTTGTTTTATTGTTATTTGTTGAATGTAAGCCCAGGGTTGTATTTGCATTTAGTTGAAACTCTATTTTGTGTAACCAAGAATGTTCTTGGATAAATTTGTAAGCCTGTAGGGCACTTATTATCTGTTTGGCTTCTATTTCATACTTGTTGTAAAATGTATGTTTGGGATTGGAACTGGGGCATTGAGATGTGAATAGCATGTATTTAGCATTTGAGATTTAATGGAAATGGATGTATAGAATAGTTAGCTATATATATACGTGTTTGTCTATCAGGTAGGTTTTGTTGCATACATAGATATACCCTGCGCAATTTTCGGGGTGTTACAATTTTTAGTTGGCAAAAGTTTTCCGCGACTAATTTTTTTAGTCGCTACTTTGGTCATCAAATGAGGGTCGGCAAAAGTAATTTGTGACAAAAATATTTTTTAGTCGGGAAAAGAATATATTTGCCGACTAAAATTTTGGTCGTTGAGTACACAATTACCGCGACTAAACCATTTAGTAACTAAAAATCGTCAATCACTAAAAGTGCTAATTTACCGACCAAATATGTTTGTCGCCAATTGTGCCATTCCCCGACCAAAAATGTTAGTAGCCAAAAATAATGTTTACTCGACTAAAACTTTTGTTGGCAATAAACCTATTCGCGACCAAACGCTTTGGTTGCCAAAATTAATAATTTTACCGACTAATTATTTGGTCGCCAAATGTACCCTCTCACCTACCAATATTTTGGTCGCCAAATATAAGTGATGAAACACCGACTAATCACTTGGTCGCCAAAAGAGGAAAAACCAAATCAAACTTTGGTCGCCAATTCAATTCTTTTTGTTTATCAAAATAGAAATAAAATATAAAAATTTCCATTTGACCTGTATGATATATAATAATCCATCCAAACTATTCAATATAACCTGTAATTTGCAAGAATTATTCAAACTAACAAAATTAACTGAATCATGAACATCCAACAAAATAATAAATCAGCCAATACTTAACCTGTTTAATTAAAGTCATCAATTGTTATAAATTTTCATCTACAAACAATTCCAAACTAGATAATTATCCAATTAAAAAGGTCATGTAATCTATATAATTATCTAATTCACATCTATCTAGTATAAAAATTAAAAACATAACAAGTACTTGTTATTATGTTTTAAATTTTTATTCATGTGCATCTATCAAAAAATATAACTAATAGTCTGCCCAAATATTTCCCATAGACATCTATCCAAAAATATATAATCCTTCAAAAAATGTAACAAGTGCCAAAAAAAAAAAAAAAAAAAAAAATTCTAAAAAAATTACAATTTTGGGCCTGGTAAAAAAAAAAAAAAAAAAAAAAAAAAGCAGCAAATTCCTTTTTACATCTTGGATCAGACCTTTCCCTCAGCAAAATTGTCCTTTTGAACTGCAGATAAATAAATAACAGTTACAAATTATAATCCTTTTAAAGATAATCTAGAACAAAGCAATAAATAATATCAAAAGCATGAAGAGATAAAAGCATATACATAAATCACCATTATAATAACATGTATATTCCCTGTTTGTTCCAGATTTAATATAATCAAATTATGAAAAGCATATTATGTAAGTTCAACAAAAAAAAAAAAAAAAAAAGAAGAAGAGAACAACAAGACTTCTTCAAAAATCCTCTCTTGAAAAGAAAGCATTAAGGGCATAGGAAAGGATTGTAAATCATTACCATAGGCAATCTCATCTATCAATCACGCTTCCGTTTAACCATAACGATGGAATCAGGTACGCAATTTTGTCTTAATTTCTTGATAATACACATGATACATGATCCAAAGTTTAAGTTTTTATGTTCTGAACTTATAACAAGTGGTATCAGAGCAGTTATATCATGTCTATTATTAGAAATTGATATGCTATTATTCATCCAATTTAGTTTCCTAGTTTGCGGATTCTGAATTTTCTTACTGTTGCAAATTCTGTCTATTTTCTGGTTTCCTGGCCTGCAAATTCTGTATTTTTTGGTTTTTTGGAAATAGTAATCTGGTTTCTGGAAATGTTAAACTAATTAAGATGGGCAGTGGGTATAAATCCTTCTTATGGACAAGTGCATGTGGTTACAGTTATATATATATGGATGATTGTATGTATGAAATAGAGCATTATTATGTTGAAATGGGCAGTGGGCTTCCGTAGTTATATATATAATATATGCATGTGTTTATAAATCCTTCTAATGCATCAGTTTGCATTTGGATTCTACATTTCAAGTTCATGGAATCATGTATATATATATATATATATCATGCGGTTTGATTGTGAACATCGTATATATATAAAAAAAAAAAAACACTTCCGTCTGCGAGCTTTGGGTGTTTGAAACAGAGCACTTTTATGTTAAAGAATTGGTTTGGTCTTTGGCCTTTTCTAATCAATTCATGCATGTGATTTGTGGCTGTAGAATTGGTTTGGTCTTTGGCATTTTCTAATCAATTCATGCATGTGATTTGTGGCTGTATAAAAGGTTTGTTTTTTGGCATTTTCTATTCAATTGATGCATATGATTTGTGGCTAAAAAAAAAAAATTCTTTATATATATATAATTGGGATTGCTGCTAATTATATAATATATATGGGGTAACGCATTAAAGAATCTTTACATTTAAAGTAATTTCATGCGACGTCTACAGTTGGAGTCAATTGTCTAACGTTCTAAATATTAGTCAATTAAAACAAGATGTCACAAAAGCGATCCCTCTTGTCTAGATTGTTTTATATGGAATGTTTTGATGTTCATGTATGTGTACATCATGCGGGTATTTATCGGTCCAAAGACATGATTAATTACTTGGCAGAAATTACACACACATTTGTGGTGATAAACATGTGCCAATTGTCAAGGAAACCTAATGTGAATAATAAATCCATCAAAAGATAGATTTGTTATTTGACATAACTTATTGTCAATGTTTGATCATTACAACAGGAATACCACTTACAGGAAATATCACTACCCAAAGGCTTGGTATTAATGTTGTGCTAGGTATCTTGAGATGTTGTCATTAAATTAATTTATTTAGAGATTATCTGTTTGGTTACTTAATGTGCGCATAATTGTTTATTTGTTTTATTTTATTTTTCTATTCAGCTTTAATGTCCACTACTTCAATCTCTGCCAACATGAACAATGTTCCAATGTTAAATGGAACAAACTTTAAGGACTGGAAAGAGAACATATTGATTGTTCTCGGCTGCATGGACATAGACTTGGCATTAAGAATGCCAAAACCGAATGATCTCACTGAACAAAGTACTCCTGAGGAAATTGTGTACTTTGAAAACTGGGATCGTTCTAACAGGCTAAGTCTTATGATCATGAAGCATGGGATTCCAGAAGTCTTTCGGGGTGCAATAACAAAGGATGTTACCGTTGCTGGTGAATTTCTTTCGGAAATTCAAAAGCGTTTTGCTAAAAATGATAAGGCTGAAATAAGCACGCTTTTAGCAAGCTTGATTTCAATGAAGTAAAAAGGCAAGGGTAATGTTCGCGAGTACATCATGGAGATGTCTCATCTTGCTTCAAAACTTAAGGCACTAAAGCTCGACCTATCTGATGATCTGCTCGTGCATTCAGTTCTCATCTCTCTTCCTGCACAATTTAACCAATTTAAGGTCAGTTATAACTGCCAGAAGGAGAAATGGACTCTCAATGAGCTCATTTCATTTTGTGTGCAAGAGGAAAAGAGATTGAAACAAGAAAGGACTGAAAGTGCTCATCTGACAAGCACCTCCAAGCATACGGGCAAAAGAAAGCATAAGGGAAAAGAAGTTGCTGCTCCTAAGGGTCCGGAACCAAAAAAACAGAAAGTGCAAGATGGTTGTTTCTTTTGTGGCAAGCCCGGACACAGAAAGTAGGATTGTGCCAAATACGCTACCTGGCGTGTAAAGAAAGGTACATATTATGTTTTGGCCTGTTCTGAAATAAATTTAGCTTCAGTACCAAGAAACACTTGGTGGGTAGATTCTGGTGCTACTACTCACATATGTGTTTCTATGCAGGGTTGCCTGAACTATCGAAAGCCAACTGATGCTGAAAAATACATCTTTGTGGGTGATGACAAGTCAGTAAAAGTGCAGGCAATAGGGCACTTTAGATTATTGCTGAAAACTGGTTATTATTTGGACTTAATAGACACTTTTGTTGTACCGTCCTTTAGACGGAATTTAATTTCTATTTCTGTATTGGACAAATTTGGATATTATTGTTCTTTTGGAAATATGCAGTTCAGTTTGTCTAGTAATTCAAATGTTGTTGGTACTGGTTTACTTAATGCTTTTGATAATCTATATTTGCTGGAAACTATTTCATCTTATAATGAAACCTTGCACATGGAATCACGAGGTACCAAGCCTAAATTAACTAAGGAAAATACAGCTTCATTATGGCACAAACGCCTAGGTCACATCTCTAAATCTAGAGTTGAGCGCCTTGTGTCTGATGGAATTTTGGACTCTCTTTATTTTTCAGAATTTGATGTCTGTGCTGAGTGTATCAAGGGAAAACAGACCAAAATGAAGAAATTTGGTGCCCATAGGACTACAGATGTCTTAGAATTAATTCATACGGACGTCTGTGGGCCATTTCCTATGGCGTCTTGGAATGGTCAACAGTATTTTATCACATTCATAGACGACTATTCCAGATATGGGTATCTATTTTTTATACATGAGAAATCACAGTCTTTGGACGTATTCAAAAAATTTAAGGCTGAAGTTGAGTTACAACTCAACAAACGGATAAAGAGTGTCAGGTTTGACCGTGGTGGTGAATACTATGGCATACATGATGGATCAGGTGAACAACGTCCAGGACCGTTTGCAAAATACCTGGAAGAATGTGGAATCGTCCCACAATACACCATGCCAGGATCACCTAGTATGAATGGTGTATCTGAGAGACGAAACCGAACTCTTAAGGATATGGTAAGAAGTATGATTAGTCATTCTACTTTACCCGAGTCCCTCTAGGGTGAGGCTCTAAAGACAGCCACTTATATCTTAAATCGGGTGCCAACTAAAGTAGCTGCAAAAACACCTTATGAGCTTTGGGTTGGGCGAAAGCCTAGTCTAAAACACTTGCATGTGTGGGGGTGTCCTGCTGAGGCAAGGCCTTATAAACCTCATGAAAGAAAATTGGACTCTAAAACTGTTAGCAGCTACTTTATTGGCTATGCCGAATGATCACGGGGTTACAAGTTTTATGATCCCACCAATAGGTTAATATTTGAGACGGGAATTGCAACATTTCCAATTAGAGACATTGTCTTTGAGGAGGAAGTAGGAGTAATCCCACTTCCTACTACTACTTTTGACCAATTACAGGTTCCTATACCTGTCATTGCTCGAGAAGTAACTTCGGATCCTCAACCAGACAATGTTCTTCAAAACAATATAGTTCAACCCCTCATTCAAGATGAGGTAATTGTTCCTGAGGAACAAACTCTACAACCTCAACCTCAAGAACCTGTGCCATTAAGGCGATCCACGAGAGAAAAGAGATTTGCAATTTCGGATGATTATATTCTATATCTCCAAGAACATGAGGTAGAAAATAGAATGTCGAAAGATGATCCAATCAATTTTCGCCAAGCCATGGAAAGTTCCAACTCTCATAAATGGATAGAAGCCATGAATGAAGAATATAAGTCTATGCAAGACAATAAAGTTTGGGAACTTGTCCCATTACCAGTTGGTGCGAAGCCTGTAGGTTGTAAATGGATATTTAAAACCAAAAGGGATTCAAATGGTAATGTGGAGAGGTATAAGGCACGTCTTGTAGCCAAAGGCTTTACTCAAAAGGAAGGAATTGACTTTAAAGAAACTTTTTCTCCGGTTTCTACAAAAGATTCTTTTAGGACAATTATGGCGCTTGTTGCATATTTTGATCTTGAGTTACATTAGATGGATGTCAGAACAGCATTTCTTAATGGTGACATTAAAGAAACAATTTATATGGTGCAGCCAGAAAACTTTATGCCGGGAGACCCAAAGAATATGGTTTGCAAATTGACTAAATCCATCTATGGACTCAAACAAGCTTCTCATCAATGGTACTTCAAATTTCATCAAGTTCTCACTTCGTATGGCTTTGAAACTAATGTTGTTGATGAATGTGTGTATCACAAGTTTAGTGGGAGTAAACACATATTTTTGGTTTTATATGTTGATGATATATTGCTTCCCACAAACGATATAAACTTATTGCATGACACCAAGAGATTTCTATCTAAGAATTTTGAAATGAAAGATCTTGGTGATGCTTCCTTTGTATTAGGAATCAAAATACACCAAGATCGTTCTCGGGGTATTCTGGGATTATCACAAAGGAGTTATATCGAAAAAATACTCAATAGATTTGGCATGCAAAATTGTAAATCAGGTGAAACCCCAGTTGCTAAGGGAGACAAGTTTAGTCTCAGCCAATGCCTGAAGAATAGTCTTGAAATTCAAGAAATGAAGAAGATTCCTTATGCCTCGGCTGTAGGGAGTCTAATGTATGCCCAAGTATGTACGCGTCTGGATATTGCGTTCATAGTTGGCGTGTTAGGCAGATATTTAAGTAGTCCTGGCATGGATCATTGGAAAGCAACCAAGCGAGTTATGCGGTATTTACAGAGAACAAAGGAATATATGCTCACATATAGGAGGTCGGATAAGTTAGAGATCATTGGGTATTCCGACTCTGATTTTGCTGGATGCCAAGACAGTAGGAAATCCACATCAAGCTATATTTATCTATTAGCTGGCGGAGCAATTTCTTGGAGGTCTGCAAAGCAGACGCTCATAGCTTCATCCACCATGGCCGCAGAGTTTGTAGCATGTTATGAGGCATCAAATCAAGGAATATGGCTTCGGAATTTTGTCACTGGGTTGCGTATTTTGGAAGGCATTGAAAGACCACTTAAGTTATACTGTGACAATAAGTCTGCAGTTTTATATTCCAATAACAACAGGAGCTCGACAAAATCAAAGCATATTGATATCAAGTTCCTAGTTGTAAAAGAAAGAGTGCAGAGTGGACAGATTTCCATAGAGCACATTGGGACAAACTCCATGATAGCGGATCCACTTACGAAGGGACTACCACCCAAGGTCTTTCATGAGCACACTGCTCATATAGGTGTTGTTCTATTTGGGAACATTTTGGTTTAGTGGGAGTTTGTATTTATATTAGTGGGAGTTTGTATTAATATTACTGCTTTATGTCAACCTTGAGTTTTATTGATGTAATTAGATTAATTTCTGCAGAAATGAAGTATTTAGTTTATTACACTCTGTTACGTATTGTGAAGTATTGATCTCAATAAAGTTAAGTAGGACCAGTTGGAAATAGGCATGTATGGATCACATTACATGTAATTTCCATGCTACGCATCCATGACTGATCTATGTATTTAGCTGTATTGGTATACGTGACCATTGGTGGGTCGAGTTACGATTAATGTAACAAAGACCGCTTTGATCCTATATTAATATAGTTAATGGACGAGATTGTTTGTATACCCTCAGGTCATGATAACAAAGTTTTGAGCTCACTAAAGTTAAACACATTTATTAGGTTACATATGTGGTCCAGTGGGAGATTATTGGATTAATTTCTAATTGGGACCACATATTTAAATGTGTGTGTTATCATTTATCAAAAGCCTCAAAATTTAAATGATCTAATTTAGTTAGCAGGTTTAAAGGGTATATTTGTCATGGACCTAGTGTGTAGATGCTATTTGTACAATTTCTATTTTTATGAGGGGCAGAAATAGAAATTGTTTAAGTTGGTTATTGAATGGAAGTTCAACTGCCACGGTTGGTTTTTTGTTTGAACTACCACCAATACAAATAGTTATGGTCCCAATCCTGCCATGCATAAAAAAAGAAGAAGAAGAGAACAACAGAACTTCTTCAAAAATCCTCTCTTGAAAAGAAAGCATTAAGGGCATAGGAAAGGATTGGAAATCATTACCAGAGGCAATCTCATCTATCAATCACGCTTCCATTTAACCATAACGATGGAATCGGGTACGCAATTTTGTCTTAATTTCATAATAATACACATGATACATGATCCAAAGTTTAAGTCTTTATGTTCTGAACTTATAACAAACATTAGTCATAAAATTGGCATGCACAATATACATGCCATTTTTTCATCATGCTTTCATAATAAAATGTTGAAATTGTAACAAATCAAAAGATTAAAAGAGAAAATGTAACAATTTTTAATTGAGGGGTAAAGTATAATTTGCCCTGTGAACAAAGAGATGCAGTGAATTTTCAAATTTTCATATTGCTCCATAACAAAGCTGTGCCACACACTTTCTTTTCTATACATTCAACTAAATACTGGAAATTTTGCGCAAATGAAAATAAGAAACAAAAAACACAAACTTATCTCTCTCTCTCTCTCTTATATGAAATGCATGTTGTGTTAGTTGAACTGAAATTTCCAAAACATATACTACATGATTGAG